CATTCTTTGGCTAGAGATCATGTCTGTATAGTAGCTTCATTTTCACCACATCATCTTTTGTCTAGAGATCATGTCTGTATAGTAGCTTCATTTTCACCACATCATCCTTTGGCTAGAGATCATGTCTGTATGGTAGCTTCATTTTCACCACATCATCTTTTGTCTAGAGATCATGTCTGTATAGTAGCTTCATTTTCACCACATCATCTTTTGGCTAGAGATCATGTCTGTATAGTAGCTTTATTTTCACCACATCATCCTTTGGCTAGAGATCATGTCTGTAAAATAGCTTCATTTTCACCACATCATCTATTGGCTAGAGATCATGTCTGTATAGTAGCTTCATTTTCACCACATCATCTTTTGGCTAGAGATCATGTCTGTATAGTAGCTTCATTTTCACCACATCATCTTTTGGCTAGAGATCATGTCTGTATAGTAGCTTCATTTTCACCACATCATCTTTTGTCTAGAGATCATGTCTGTATAGTAGCTTCATTTTCACCACATCATCTTTTGGCTAGAAATCATGTCTATGTCATAGCTTTATCACACCATCCTTTGGCTAGAGATCATGTCTATGTCATAGCTTTATCACACCATGCTTTGGCTAGAGATCATGTCTATGTTGTAGCTTTATCACACCATCCTTTGGCTAGAGATCATGTCTATGTTGTAGCTTTATCACACCATCCTTTGGCTAGAGAACATGTCTATGTTATAGCTTTATCAAACCATCCTTTGGCTAGAGATCATGTCTATGTTATAGCTTTATCACACCATCCTTTGGCTAGAAATCATGTCTATGTTGTAGCTTTATCACACCATCCTTTGGCTAGAGATCATGTCTATGTCATAGCTTTATCACACCATGCTTTGGCTAGAGATCATGTCTATGTTGTAGCTTTATCACACCATCCTTCGGCTAGAGATCATGTCTATGTTGTAGCTTTATCACACCATCCTTTGGCTAGAGAACATGTCTATGTTATAGCTTTATCACACCATCCTTTGGCTAGAGATCATGTCTATGTTATAGCTTTTTCACACCATCCTTTGGCTAGAAATCATGTCTATGTTATAGCTTTATCACACCATCCTTTGGCTAGAGAACATGTCTATGTTATAGCTTTATCACACCATCCTTTGGCTAGAAATCATGTCTATGATGTAGCTTTATCACACCATCCTTTGGCTAGAGAACATGTCTATGTTATAGCTTTATCACACCATCCTTCGGCTAGAGATCATGTCTGTTATATCTTTATCACACCATCCTTCAGCTAGAGAACATGTCTATGTTGTAGCTTTATCACACCATCCTTTGGCTAGAGAACATGTCTATGTTATAGCTTTATCACACCATCCTTCGGCTAGAGATCATGTCTGTTGTATCTTTATCACACCATCCTTCAGCTAGAGAACATGTCTATGTTATAGCTTTATCACACCATCCTTTGGCTAGAGATCATGTCTTTGTTGTAGCTTTATCACACCATCCTTTGGCTAGAGAACATGTCTATGTTATAGCTTTATCACACCATCCTTCGGCTAGAGATCATGTATGTTATATCTTTATCACACCATCTTTCGGCTAGAGATCATGTCTATGTTGTAGCTTTATCACACCATCCTTTGGCTAGAGAACATGTCTATGTTATAGCTTTATCACACCATCCTTCGGCTAGAGATCATATCTGTTATATCTTTATCACACCATCCTTCGGCTAGAGATCATGTCTATGTTGTAGCTTTATCACACCATCCTTTGGCTAGAGAACATGTCTATGTTATAGCTTTATCACACCATCCTTCGGCTAGAGATCATGTCTGTTATATCTTTATCACACCATCCTTCAGCTAGAGAACATGTCTATGTTATAACTTTATCATACCATTCATTAGCTAGAGTTCATGTCTACGTTATAGCTTTATCACACCATCTTTATGGCTGGAAATCAAGTTTGTGTTATCTCTGCATTTCACCATGCTTGTATTCATCATTATTAACATCATCTTATGCCGTTATATGTCATATATGACTCGCCGTGTAGTCCTCCACTCTGTGCAGGTGTAGTTTCTTTATAATAGATGGAACGATATCATGGGTGGAACTGTATCATGGTTGGAGCTGTGAAACTGTATCATAGGCGAAACTGTATCATGTGTGGAACTGTATCTTGGGTGGAACTGTATCATGGGTGGAACTGTATCATGGTTGGAACTGTATCATGGGTGGAACTGTATCATGGTTGGAGCTGTGAAACTGTATCATAGGCAGAACTGTAACTGTATCATGGGTGGAACTGAATCATGGGTGGAACTGTATCATTGGTGGAGTTGTGAAACTATCATATGCGAAACTGAAACTACATCACGAGGTGGAACTGAATCATGTATAGAACTATATCATGGATGGAACTATATTATTGGTGGAACTGTATCATGGATAGAATTATATCATGGGTTGTACTGTATCATGAATAGATGCCTTGGCATCTCTGAGCATTCATCATAGGGTTTCTCTTTGTTCCTCACTCCATTTCTTTCGCCACTTCAGTGCCTTTTATCGATTCTCAGTTCGCTTCTCCTCATAGTATGACCCAATTTCTCCCCCCCCCCCTCTCCCCCCCCCCCCCAGTAGCTGTTGATACTGGCGGTTACTTGTGTAGACTGTCTCCCTTGTGATACCAGCTGTTACCTAGACTATCTCCCTTGTGATACCAGCTGTTACCTAGACTATCTCCCTTGTGATACCAGCAGTTACCTAGACTGTCTCCCTTGTGATAGCAGTGGTTACCTAGACTATCTCCCTTGTGATAGCAGCGGTTACCTAGACTATCTCCCTTGTGATACCAGTGGCTACCTAGACTGTCTCCTTTGTGATACCAGCTGTTACCTAGACTATCTCCCTTGTGATACCAGCGGTTACCTAGACTGTCTCCCTTGTGATACCAGTGGTTACCTAGACTATCTCCCTTGTGATACCAGTGGTTACCTAGACTATCTCCCTTGTGATACCAGCGGTTACCTAGACTATCTCCCTTGTGATACCAGCTGTTACCTAGACTATTTCGCTTGTGATACCAGCGGTTACCTAGACTATCTCCCTTGTGATACCAGCGGTTACCTAGACTATCTCCCTTGTGATACCAGTGGTTACCTAGACTATCTCCCTTGTGATACCAGCGGTTACCTAGACTGTCTCCCTTGTGATACCAGCGGTTGCTTATGTTGAATAGACCTTCTCCCTTGTGATACTTGCGGTTGCTTGGGTTGCCTAGATTCTCTCCCTTATGATACCAGCGGTTGCTTGTGTTGCATAGAATATTTCCCTTGAGATACCAGCGGTTGCTTGTGTTGCATAGAATATCTCCCTTGTGATACCAGCGGTTGCTTGTGTTGCATAGAATATCTCCCTTGTGATACCAGCGGTTGCTTGTGTTGCATAGAATATCTCCCTTGTGATACCAGCGGTTGCTTGTGTTGCATAGAATAGTTGATCTTCTCCATACAGCTCCCAATTTTTATACATGAGCGCGCGCAGCCGTCAGTCTGTAATCTCAAATTAATCAGAGTAGTTGATGCCGCACTCAGCAGAGCCGGTCGACACAAAAGACAGTTTCAAAAAAAAGGGGGGGGGGATACATAGAGGCATCAGTAATGTTTCTGCGGCTGAGCTTTCAAGAAACATAATCCTTGTTTAAGTGCGCATTAGGAATATATATACTATCATTTTTTTTTTTTTTTTGAACAGTCCTCGCCAAAATTTGACTTAAGTCTACGTGAGGGGAGGGGCCTAGGCACCTGAGTACCGAGAGCCTTGGCCATATTTCCAAAAGCACAGAAAGTGTATTCTTATTCCCCGATGGCTCAGATATCAGATGTACCCCCTACTTAGAGCTGATATGTATCAGATGTACCCCCTACTTAGAGCTGATATGTATCAGATGTACCCCCTACTTAGAGCTGATATGTATCAGATGTACCCCCTACTTAGAGCTGATATGTATCAGATGTACCCCCTACTTAGAGCTGATATGTATCAGATGTACCCCCTACTTAGAGCTGATATGTATCAGATGTACCCCCTACTTAGAGCTGATATGTATCAGATGTACCCCCTACTTAGAGCTGATATGTATCAGATGTACCCCCTACTTAGAGCTGATATGTATCAGATATACCCCCTACTTAGAGCTGATATGTATCAGATATACCCCCTACTTAGAGCTGATATGAATCAGATGTACCCCCTACTTAGAGCTGATATGTATCAGATGTACCCCCTACTTAGAGCTGATATGTATCAGATATACCCCCTACTTAGAGCTGATATGTATCAGATGTACCCCCTACTTAGAGCTAATATGTATCAGATGTACCCCCTACTTAGAGCTGATATGTATCAGATTTACCCCCTACTTAGAGCTGATATGTATCAGATGTACCCCCTACTTAGAGCTGATATGTATCAGATATACCCCCTACTTAGAGCTGATATGTATCAGATATACCCCCTACTTAGAGCAGATATGTATCAGATGTACCCCCTACTTAGAGCTGATATGTATCAGATGTACCCCCTACTTAGAGCAGATATGTATCAGATGTACCCCCTACTTAGAGCTGATATGTATCAGATGTACCCCCTACTTAGAGCAGATATGTATCAGATGTACCCCCTACTTAGAGCTGATATGTATCAGATGTACCCCCTACTTAGAGCTGATATGTATCAGATGTACCCCCTACTTAGAGCTGATATGTATCAGATGTACCCCCTACTTAGAGCTGATATGTATCAGATATACCCCCTACTTAGAGCTGATATGTATCAGATATACCCCCTACTTAGAGCTGATATGTATCAGATTTACCGCCTTCCCACTTGGAGCCGATTTTGTTTTGCCGAGTCATTATTTGACTATCTTTACACCACATCTGTGGCAACCCCTGACTATCTGCTAAGTGATCGATGTTTTCTTGTCTCCCTGTAGAAACGCAATGAGCAGAAGAAAAAGAGACAAGACATACTGGCAGATCTGCAAGCCAAATGTAAACAGGCCCTAGGTATACTTCAAGTCTCTCTCTCTCTCTCTCTCTCTCTCTCTCTCTCTCTCTCTCTCTCTCTCTCTCTCTCTCTCTGTATCTCTCTCTGTATCTGTCTCTCTCTCTCTGTATCTCTCTTTCTCTGTATCTCTCTCTCTCTTTCTCTGAATCTCTCTGTATCTCTCTCTCTCTGTATCTCTCTCTGTGTCTCTCTCTCTCTCTCTCGCTGTATCTGTCTCAGTTGATCTGTCGTCAGTCTCTTCTCTCTCTCACTCTCTCTCTCTCTAGCTCTGCTTTTATCTCTGCCTTTGTCTCTATCTCGCTCTATTCCTGTCTGCCTGTCTCTCCAACCCCCTTTTTTCCTTTCTTTCTTGTTTTCATTTGAATGTTATTGTGCTTAAGTAGGCTATGTTGCATGTATGTCTGAAGTTTAATCCATTCAATTCATTGGCGGGTATCCAGCAGGCCAGACATGTCCTGTAATAAAGGGCCCATTTCCCACTCCTTAAGGAATATAGTGTTTATGAGTTTTGTTTTTTAATTTTTAAATACAATAATTAATATTCTATAGGGGATGTAGTGAATATTATGCTAGCCTCCTTTACTTCCCAGAATATTTTATTGTTCCAGTTTTTCAATATTTTAAAAACCTGGCCTCAATGGCAATTCGAACACATGACTAGAAGAGTGACCTGCACATTGTTCAGGTATTTGGTTGAGACATGCATATCCCAAGATAAGAGAATCTTTACTGGAGAGAAATGTGTGCTCACCCGAAAAAAAAGGGGGGGGGGGAAGGAATGTGTATACATCCCAGTGTAGCAGAGAGAATTGTGTGTACATCTCAGAGTAGGAGAGAGAATAGGTGTACATCTCAGAGTAGGAGAAAGAATTGTGTATACATTGCAGGGTAGGAGATAGAACGACGTGTACAGCTCAAAGGAGGAGAGAGAAATGGGTTTACATATCAGGGAGGAGAGGAAAATAGGTTTACATATCAGGGAGGAGAGGGAAATGGGTTTACATATCAGGGAGGAGAGGAAATTGAGTGTACATCTCAGGGAGGAGAGGGAAATGAGTTTACATCTCAGGGAGGAGAGAGAAATGAGTGTACATCTCAGGGAGGAGAGGGGAATGAGTGTACATCTCAGGGAGGAGAGGGAAATGAGTTTACATCTCAAGGAGGAGAGGGAAATGAGTTTACATCTCAGGGAGGAGAGGGAAATGAGTTTACATCTCAGGGAGGAGAAAAAAAATCTGTGCACGTCCAATGTAGAAGATTAATATTTAAACATCCTTGAGTGTAGGATACAACTGTCCACTCTAATACAACTGTCCACTCTAATACAACTGTCCACTCTACTTCAACTGTCCACTCTACTTCAACTGTCCACTCTACTTCAACTGTACTCTCTACACTGGAATTCATATTAGGCCCTTCCTGTTTGAGCTCTGTGGCCTATTATGGACACAACTAAAACGGACTCATGGCCTCCCCAAAAATCATGTCGTAAGAGTCGACTAACTTGGGGCTTCCTTCAAAGCCGGAGTGCATCTGCCTGAGAGGCAAGGAACCAACAATCTACATATACAGAATTAATATCTGAAAAATGGATGTGCATGCGACAGTCAGGTTCTGGAACGAGACTAAATTCCTGAGGTGGACAAACAACCAGAACTTTCCGATGAAGTTTACAGCCTGTGTACGTGAAGTTTACAGCCTGTGTACATGAAGTTTACAGCCTGTGTACATGAAGTTTACAGCCTGTGTACATGAAGTTTACAGCCTGTGTACGTGAAGTTTACAGCAGGTGTACGTGAAGAAGAAGAAGAAGATATTAGGCCCATCTTCACGAATTTTTAAGGTTGCTATTTTCTGTTATAGCAGCTTACAAAGTCTTGTCATTCTATCTGAGTTCCTTGTGCATTTCCAGCACACGACCAGGAGACAAAAATCAAGTCACTTGCCAGTAACACAAGTGCACAGTCAAGAAAGAAAAACAGAGATAATGAGCACACATGTGAGAGGAGCACCTCCATCCCCAGAAGAGATCACAGTAGCAGCAGTAGTTCACATGCTGACATACCAGTCTGCTCTTCCACACAGGAGATAGAAAATGAAGCTGATGATATCTGTAAGGATGAACATGCTTCCAGAAAGACAGTTGAAGGAATATCTGCTACAATCCAGAATACAGAGCTTTTCAAACTGTATGGGCATAATGCCGGTAAATACAGTGATGCCAGAAAGCTGTTTCACAAAAAAATCCCCCATGCAAGTCTGAAAAAATTGGCAGGTATAAATTATTGTATGTCTGAGAGATCATTCACTGGATTTCTGTTATTATTTTACCTACATTTTAAGTCTCAGTTCTCTGTTACATAGCTCCTCATGACCTTAGTTTTAATCTAATGTCTGTTTATGTGCAGTTAATTATGGTAGATATGTGGTTAACATAGTAGATATGTAGTTTGTGACTGTAGATATGTAGTTTATGACAGTAGGTATGTAGTTTATGACAGTAGATATGTAGTTTATGACAGTAGATATGTAGTTTATGACAGTAGATATGTAGTTTATGACTGTAGATATGTAGTTTATGACAGTAGATATGTAGTTTATGACAGTAGATATGTAGTTTATGACAGTAGATATGTAGTTTATGACAGTAGATATGTAGTTTATGACAGTAGATATGTAGTTTATGACAGTAGATATGTAGTTTATGACAGTAGATATGTAGTTTATGACAGTAGATATGTAGTTTATGACAGTAGATATGTAGTTTTATGACAGTAGATATGTAGTTTTATGACAGTAGATATGTAGTTTATGACAGTAGATATGTAGTTTATGACAGTAGATATGTAGTTTATGACAGTAGATATGTAGTTTATGACAGTAGATATGTAGTTTATGACAGTAGATATGTAGTTTATGATGACAGTAGATATGTAGTTTATGACAGTAGATATGTAGTTTATGACAGTAGATACAGTAGAGTTTATGACAGTAGATATGTAGTTTATGACAGTAGATATGTAGTTTATGACAGTAGATATGTAGTTTTATGACAGTAGAATGTAGTTTATGACAGTAGATATGTAGTTTATGACAGTAGATATGTAGTTTATGACAGTAGAATGTAGTTTATGACAGTAGATATGTAGTTTATGACAGTAGATATGTAGTTTATGACAGTAGATATGTAGTTTATGACAGTAGATATGTAGTTTATGACAGTAGATATGTAGTTTATGACAGTAGATATGTAGTTTATGACAGTAGATATGTAGTTTATGACAGTAGATATGTAGTTTATGACAGTAGATATGTAGTTTATGTATATGTAGTTTATGACAGTAGATATGTAGTTTATGACAGTAGATATGTAGTTTATGACAGTAGATATGTAGTTTATGACAGTAGATATGTAGTTTATGACAGTAGATATGTAGTTTATGACAGTAGATATGTAGTTTATGACAGTAGACAGTAGACATAGTAGTAGTTTATGACAGTAGATATGTAGTTTATGACAGTAGATATGTAGTTTATGACAGTAGATATGTAGTTTATGACAGTAGATATGTAGTTTATGACAGTAGATATGTAGTTTATGACAGTAGATATGTAGTTTATGACAGTAGATATGTAGTTTATGACAGTAGATATGTAGTTTATGACAGTAGATATGTAGTTTATGACAGTAGATATGTAGTTTATGACAGTAGATATGTAGTTTATGACAGTAGATATGTAGTTTATGACAGTAGATATGTAGTTTATGACAGTAGATATGTAGTTTATGACAGTAGATATGTAGTTTATGACAGTAGATATGTAGTTTATGACAGTAGATATGTAGTTTATGACAGTAGATATGTAGTTTATGACAGTAGATATGTAGTTTATGACAGTAGATATGTAGTTTATGACAGTAGATATGTAGTTTATGACAGTAGATATGTAGTTTATGACAGTAGATATGTAGTTTATGACAGTAGATATGTAGTTTATGACAGTAATGTAGTTTATGACAGTAGATATGTAGTTTATGACAGTAGATATGTAGTTTATGACATTAGATATGTAGTTTATGACAGTAATGTAGTTTATGACAGTAATGTAGTTTATGACAGTAGATATGTAGTTTATGACAGTAGATATGTAGTTTATGACAGTAGATATGTAGTTTATGACAGTAGATATGTAGTTTATGACAGTAGATATGTAGTTTATGACAGTAGATATGTAGTTTATGACAGTAGATATGTAGTTTATGATATGTAGTAGTTATGACAGTAGATATGTAGTTTATGACAGTAGATATTTAGTTTATGACAGTAGATATGTAGTTTATGACAGTAATGTAGTTTATGACAGTAGATATGTAGTTTATGACAGTAGATATGTAGTTTATGACAGTAATGTAGTTTATGACAGTAGATATGTAGTTTATGACAGTAGATATGTAGTTTATGACAGTAGATATGTAGTTTATGACAGTAGATATGTAGTTTATGACAGTAGATATGTAGTTTATGACAGTAGATATGTAGTTTATGACAGTAGATATGTAGTTTATGACAGTAGATATGTAGTTTATGACAGTAGATATGTAGTTTATGACAGTAGATATGTAGTTTGTGACAGTAGATATGTAGTTTGTGACAGTAGATATGTAGTTTATGACAGTAGATATGTAGTTTATGACAGTAGATATGTAGTTTGTGACTGTAGATATGTAGTTTATGACAGTAGATATGTAGTTTATGACAGTAGATATGTAGTTTATGACAGTAGATATGTAGTTTATGACAGTAGATATGTAGTTTATGACAGTAGATATGTAGTTTATGACAGTAGATATGTAGTTTATGACAGTAAATATGTAGTTTATGACAGTAAATATGTAGTTTATGACAGTAAATATGTAGTTTATGACAGTAGATATGTAGTTTATGACAGTAATGTAGTTTATGACAGTAATGTAGTTTATGACAGTAATGTAGTTTATGACAGTAGATATGTAGTTTATGACAGTAGATATGTAGTTTATGACAGTAGATATGTAGTTTATGACAGTAGATATGTAGTTTATGACAGTAGATATGTAGTTTATGACAGTAAATATGTAGTTTATGACAGTAGATATGTAGTTTATGACAGTAATGTAGTTTATGACAGTAGATATGTAGTTTATGACAGTAAATATGTAGTTTATGACAGTAGATATGTAGTTTATGACAGTAGATATGTAGTTTATGACAGTAATGTAGTTTATGACAGTAATGTAGTTTATGACAGTAGATATGTAGTTTATGACAGTAAATATGTAGTTTATGACAGTAGATATGTAGTTTATGACAGTAATGTAGTTTATGACAGTAGATATGTAGTTTATGACAGTAGATATGTTGTTTATGACAGTAGATATGTAGTTTATGACAGTAGATATGTAGTTTATGACAGTAGATATGTAGTTTATGACAGTAGATATGTAGTTTATGTCAGCAGGTGACAGTGGACTTGTAGTTAATTACAGTAGTTGAAGGATAAAGATACTTCCAAAATCCTGCCATTTGGATTTAAAGTAATCTGACATTTTCCAGGCAACAACAACTGCGTTAGAATGACTTATTCCCTTCCCAGTCAGTATTCTGACAATTGTAACAGTGGGAGTTTGTGTTTGCAGGTTTTGGTTCCTTGGTGAAAGATTGAGAAGTTTTTATTGGTCTGGGGTAAAAGTCAAATTCTGACCTGCAGGCAGAGTTCAGGGCGACTGCATAGTCGTGCAACCTGAATTCCTGACACTCATGCTTCCCTCTTTGTTTCTATTGACAGGACACTTGAGTGCCAGCGAGATCTGGACAACTTTGTGGTCAGACTCGGTCTCTAAACTATTGCAAGCAGACGAGAGATTTCCTAAGGATCTGAAGGTAGAACACTGATAATAGCAAATATTTAATACATTTACTTGATCGCTTGGAATCACAGAAACATGGCCGAAGGTCAAAAGTTCAAATCCGCATCGATAAAGATTTTTTGGTTAAATCAGCCTTGGGCTCGCAGGCCAGCCCAGCCTAAAATGGGAACCAGGTAATGTACTGAGAAGTCAAGTCGGCTGGCTTGATTTTGACCACATCCATCGCTTATACATTGGTCTATATATGGGGGTAGCAGATTGTAAGAATATTTGAGCAGGCAAATTTTTATGTGCAGAAGAAATAAGATGAATATAAATACTACTAAAACAGAAGTAACGCAGGTTGACAGAATTCCTTGTCTGCTTTATATAGAATTGAATGGTACTTGTGTGTAGTGAGTTAACTCTTTGAGTCCCAAGGAACGCATCATATGTTCATAGGTTCCTACCTAGAAGCCCAATGAACGCATAATGCACCGATTTTATTACTTTCTTTACTACCCGATGGGCCTGTGATGCTAAACCCCCTGGGACTCAAAGAGTTAAAGAATTTAAATACCCAGGAAGTGTACTCTCCGAGGATGGGAGAATTGATCAGGAAATAGAAACAAGATGCCAGTGGGTCAGTGCACTTATATACCAACTGACACTGTTATTAAGACATCCAAACATAATTATGAGCGCCAAGAAACAGATTATAAACAGCATATTCATACCAAAACTGTGCTAGTAGTACTAGACTTGGACATTATCAAAGGTTAACCTATGTAAAATTAACACTTGTGAAATCAGCTGTTTGAGAAAAGCTACCAACCTAACCGTAAAAGACAAAGTTATAAACGATATCAGACAGACTGTAGGAACAACACCAGGCAGCAGATTCACTGAGAAACAGAAGACCAGATAGTTTGGTCATCCAGTAAGAATGCAGCCAGAACAACAACCAACGCGGATGCTACACATGGAAAGATCTGAAGTGACGGCAAGAGGCTGCCTTAGGGAAATATAGATTGATGACATTAAGGAGCTTCTACGTTGACACAGAAAGACAGTGGCCATTTCTGCTCATCAAGCAATGGATTGCAAACTGTTTCTTCCCATGATGCAAAATGGCAGAAGTGGAAATTAATAGTGATGATGAGGACTATATACCCGATGTACCAAGAGCATGAAAACAGCCCTTGTTGACTCCCTAAGTTGATCACAGGAGCTGTGGTAGTGTGATTGCAGAGATACTTAGGTCTAAAGGTCTTCAGCCCTGCTGAGGTAGTTTTTGTCTACTTGACCTAGGGCTGCCAGGCTGTTGTTGTTGGCAGCTTCCTATCTCTCCAGATAGTGTTGTACTGTGGCGAGGGCAAGCATGGCAATCGCAGCTCATGGCAATGGCCAGTGGGACCAGTAAAACCCATCCATGTTGAGAAAAGTCTTCCACAAGCATGGCAATCAATGACCAGTAAAACCCATCCATGTTGAGAGAAGTCTTCCACAAGCATGGCAATCAATGACCAGTAAAACCCATCCATGTTGAGAGAAGTCTTCCACAAACATGACAATCAATGACCAGTAAAACCCATCCATGTTGAGAGAAGTCTTCCACAAACATGACAATCAATGACCAGTAAAACCCATCCATGTTGAGAGAAGTCTTCCACAAACATGACAATCAATGACCAGTAAAACCCATCCATGTTGAGAGAAGTCTTCCACAAACATGACAATCAATGACCAGTAAAACCCATCCATGTTGAGAGAAGTCTTCCACAAACATGACAATCAATGACCAGTAAAACCCATCCATGATGAGAACAGTCTTCCACAATAAGAGTATGGGGTTTCAGGACCGTTGTTCTCATTACATGTATTTAGTGCTTCTCCTCAGATGCGCAGCTCTCCACCTGTCTGCAAACAAGTTTTTCTTTATTCCCTTCCTGATTTTGCCCATGCATGCAGCACGGTCCTTGGCATTTTGTTCTCGTGTAACCTCACTACCTGTATCTTTCATGTCCCGCTTACACACATCTTTATATCGTAGTGAAGATCGATCTCAACATCTTTTACCCATCTGTAATTCACCCTAGAGGGTGTTGTCACATTGAACCAACCTCAGATAATTTCTAGAATGTTCTGACAGTTGCCTGGTAAGGAAAAGGGATGAGCCAGGAAACTGGCCACCCAACCTTATATGTCATTGCCTAGAATATGAAGAAGCCTAACCTTCACGCTGTGGGGCATTCAGACAAAAACATTTGCCTATTGTGTTATTATGTTGATTCTATCTACGAGTATACCTGCTTGGCTATTATGTTGATTCTATCTATGAGTATACCTGCTTGGCTATTATATTGATTCTATCTATGAGTATACCTGCTTGGCTATTTATTATGTTGATTCTATCTATGAGTATACCTGCTTGGCTATTTATTATGTTGATTCTATCTATGAGTATACCTGCTTGGCTATTTATTATGTTGATTCTATCTATGAGTATACCTGCTTGGCTATTTATTATGTTGATTCTATCTATGAGTATACCTGCTTGGCTATTTATTATGTTGATTCTATCTATGAGTATACCTGCTTGGCTATTTATTATGTTGATTCTATCTATGAGTATACCTGCTTGGCTATTATGTTGATTCTATCTATGAGTATACCTGCTTGGCTATTATGTTGATTCTATCTATGAGTATACCTGCTTGGCTATTATGTTGATTCTATCTATGAGTATACCTGCTTGGCTATTATGTTGATTCTATCTATGAGTATACCTGCTTGGCTATTTATTATGTTGATTCTATCTATGAGTATACCTGCTTGGCTATTATTTTGATTCTTAAAGCAGTCATTTTTTCTTTGCATTGAGTGATAGACTCCACCAGTCCGTGTTTTAAAGCCATATAGGGCTACATAATAAATGTTCTCTGTTAGTAGCTGCACTTTTTTCTATGCTATTGGCGATGTTTAAACAAAAAACATTTATAACATTGCTGATCTAATCTTCCTAAGGAATTATCCAGTTCTGTCATTATGTTGCCTTGTTTTACAGTACTAATGTTGCCTTGGCATTACTGATTTGCCAGGGGCAAAGAAATCATGTTTATTTACCCCATCCTAAGTTGAGTTGTCTGACCATGGTGCTCTGGGGACATTATAGGACTTGTAGTCCTTCATTCGTGACCCTTTAACGTTAATACTGGTAAACAGCTTTCAAGTGCTGTAAAAACAGATAGAAAAAAAGGCCATTATATAATCCCCTGTGAGTGTCATTCATTATGTAAGGCTGTAGTCTTCTTCTGATTGCATCCCTGATGTTTACATCGATAGATTGGTTCTTATAATGTTCTTATAATAAAGCTGAGTTTTTCAATGTGGGGAATTCCTGACCCCTTACAGCTTTGAGATGACGTTGACTTATTAGGCCAGTAATATCTTCTCAACTGGCTGTATAAGGATCACCCTACATGAGCTATTCAAAGCCTGTGCATCAAATGTGCAGTATGCCTGAAGGTAGGAAAAGGGTCCTTTTCCACACCGACCCAGTCTAAAATGGGTAGAAGGACGTGTGCTGGGAGATAAAGGTGGCTGATGTGATTGTCATTACCCATAGAGTGTTGATAGTCTATAAAAAGATGGAGACAGCACCATTTATCAAGTATGCCCAAAGACAGAGACAAGAATCCTTTATTTTTGTACAAGCTAGTGACTCCACTACAACTTTCTGCACCCTTCAGACCTTGATCTTTTTGTGTTCCTCTGCACATCTCTAGTTATGTTTCCATGACTCTGAGCATGTTTTTGTGTTCATTGATTTATTTTTTGTAACATTCAATATTTTAATTACAGTGTTTCTAAATGTGGTTGCAGCTATTTCATCATTTCATTTGTGATTATCACACACACCAAAGCAAGCTCACACAAACACACATATCTTGTGTTTTCCCAGCATGCTTCTGTTGAAATAATTGACTCGTTTGTGTTCTCAGAGTTTTATGTAGCAGACTTTCTTTACAAAAATGAATCATTAGTATGTGCTCTGCCAGGAACTTAGATGCTCAGCTGTTGGCCTAAAGGTCTAGGGTTCAAATCCTCATTTTGGCAGATTTGTAAGAATTACCAAGCTGCCAGCCTGACCCAGCCTAAAAGAGGTACCTGCTAATGTCCTGGGAAGTAAAAGTGGCTGGCGTGATGTTGACCACATCATTCATTGAGTGCTGATAGGTCTGTGAAAATATAGGACTACACAAAATGTGTGGCAAGTGTCCTTGACTTTATTGTGCCACCTCCTAGAAAATATAGGCAACCATAACTCACCACCCCACATGATAACCACAGTCAAGGATCAGGTCAGTGCTTTTGTCCCACACCATTCATGTGGCCAAGACATCCATTTATTTATCTTTTTGTCTTGCTCGTGTTCTTTTGCCAGTGAATATTGCTGATTTTCACCCGGTTTTTGAGTCCTTGTCATGGCATGATTTTGTATAAGCATGTTTTCCCATATGGAAAGTGAAGAATAGTAGCATTAACTCTTTGAGTCCCAGGGGGTATAGCATCACAGGCCCAAGGGGTAGTAAAGAAAGACATAAATTTGGTGCATCATATGTTCGTTGGGCTTCTAGGTAGAAACCTATGAACGTATGATGGGTTCCTTGGGACTCAAAGAGTTAAAACTATAGCTAACAAATCAAGTCTTCAAAGGCTGGTAGGGGTTAAAGGCCTGTGTTCTGCTCCATATTACGGAAGATGGAAAGAAGTATGAGCTGATGTAATTTATTTTTTTGTTTTTTCATCTACAGGAGACATTCAGTTCTCATGTGCGGCAGGGAATCACTAAGTTCAGGAAACCTGTTTCCAGAAGCTTTACCCTGACTGAAGATGTGAGTTCATTGTTCATTTATAGATCATCTTCATTCGCACATTGGACCTGACCATAAATGTTCTCTTCTTTTCCTGAGTATGCAAGTGTTTTTGAGCTAACAACTCTTATTCTGTTCTGGTTGATGTAACGACGGCAGCTACTGCATGATTTAACTAAAGGTGTTTGTTTTCAATGTTTGTACTGTTGTTAAAGGTGTTTGTTCTCAGTGTTTATATTGTTGCTAAAGATGTTTGTTCTCGCTGTTTGTACTGTTGCTAAAGATGTTTGTTCTCGCTGTTTGTTCTGTTGCTCAAGGTGTTTGTTCTCACTGTTCGCTCTTTTGCTAAAGGTGTTTGTTTTCACCGTTTGAACTGTTACTAATGGTGTTTGTTCTGACTGTTTTAGCTGTTTCTGAAGAAGTTTGAAGGCGTGGGGATTTACTTTATTGTGCTGGGGTCATTTTATCGTATGATGCTGTACTGAAGGGCTACTCAATAAGTTTTCTCGAGAGCCAAAATGATGATCGTCACAGGCCACAGGTCTAAGCCCAAACTCAGAAAGACCATTAATGAATGCAACTGGCATGTGATCCGTCGGCTCTCCTAAATGACTGCACTCACTGAGCAAATGGCAGTCCTGAATGGAACCCACAGCCTTCAGTGTGTGAGGCAACATTTTTGACCACTGCACCAGAGACCTCTATCACTGAGATTAAATAAGTGTAAGGGAAGCACTGTCATGATCTTAGCTACAGAAACAGACATGAAATACGCAGACTGAGCAGATTAGCAGTGAAAGGCAGTTGCTGGCAGATATAAGACAGGTTAAATATTCTGGCCATATTAAAAGACAAAACACTCTTAAAAAACCGTACTAGAGGGAAAAGGGGAAGGCAGATGAGTACGAGGCAGATGAGTACGAGGCAGATAGTGATACAAGTGGGAAGATGACATAAAAAATGGACAAACAGCACTTTTGGAGTGTGTACATCCAGGGTAAAAGATAGAAGGTATTAATGTAAAAGGTAAAAGATGTTAAGTTCCCTTGCCTGCCAAACTCGGGCTGCTAGTTTTGTTTTAGTTGGAGAGCGAGAGGGGAGATCTGCGAGTTCTAATCAGTCTATAAAAAAATGAGACTAGCACCATTTACCTGATGCCTTGCTGGCAAAGGGTCATTTACTTTTATTTACCACGAATGAAGTTCAATCCCACCAGGACCGCACAGCGGGCGGTAAACACCTGGTGACACAAAGTGCCACCATTCAGTTGAGAATCGCCTGAGCGCAAGTCCCAGAAACCCTGTTCAACGGTTATGTTAGGGCCCCCAACAACAGCCAGAGTGAGGCTTTAAAAAAACGAAAAGCTGTGTCCCATATTGGGATGGTGCTGCAAAGCTGTATAGTTTGCTTTACCAGTACACAGAGCTGTTTATATAGGCTAGCAGTAGAGTTGACATCTGTGTCTCATTTGTAAATTTGAGATTCAAATCAAGTAGAAGACTTCACATTCACTGGCTGAAAACTCTGGTGCAAAACTCTAGTTGTTCATTTGCTTATAGATTTGGATCTTGTTCCAGGGATTCAGCTTTGTATGCACATCCATTTTACAGATCTAGCTTAAGTGAGTGCAGACTGTTGGTTCCTCACTTCTCAGCCAGGTGCTTTCCAACTTTAAAGGAAATATCAGTCTTGTCTACATTTGTCAGACACCCATGTTATGAACCTGTTTGTCAAAGGACCGGGGAGTGTTGTAGGCAGGTCTTGACCATTATGAGCCTTGTTCCTGGTGCACCCCCATGTGTAGTTCAGCATCTCTGCATCTCCAAGACATGACAAAGAAGATAGTTAGTATTTATCAATGGAAGAAGCTTTTTTATTTCTTCTTCTCTTCCACCTTGTACCTCAGTGAAATTTCGGGGGGGGGGGGGGGGGGGGGGGGGGGGGGGGTAACGTTCGTTGATGATCTCTGTCAAGAGCACTATTAAGATTGATGTTTATTTCTGTAAGACTGTTCCTAATACCATCACTCCATATTTTCTGAGGTCTTCTATACCCGTTGTAACACTTTCATTAGGCTCGTTGTGGTATATAGTACCAGGGCATTCTTGTTAGATGTCCAAACCACTTCATTTGTTGTTCTTTGATGGCATGTAAGACTGGCTTTATTCCTAGCATTCGTCTGATTTCGTGATTTCATATTCTATCTTTCCTTGAAACTCCTGTCGTATGGCAGTTTTGTCGCGCACCTTACTTGCAGAATATTTTCACAAATCCCTCAGGTGCTCTGAGACAGTAGTGTTTTGAATGGTGGCTCTCGTTCGTCTAGAGGCCTAAGCCTCGGTTCAAACTTTCCATTCAATCTGTCTCAGGGATGAGGTGACTCGAGCTCTGACTCCACGGGGTTATTATGAACACTTGGGTACCTCTCGGCCAGACGTCCCCACCACTATTATTCCCCCAGACTGGTAACAATGTAACACAGTCAAACAAGTGAACAACAGTGAATACGACAAGACAGGACTACCTTTCTGAATACCACAATGAGTTTCAATAAGACAAAACTTTCCTAAGAACCAGAAGACAGATGAACTCAAAATTCAATGTAATAAGTTCACTGTAACAAAGCTGACGAAAAATAACCTAAAGAATCAACTGAAAGAATACTGAATTCTTTAAAGAACAATGCTAGAGAAAGAGTCCTCCTCCTAATCTACGTCTCTTTCCGATATCATCACAGCTGAGGAGTGGGATAGATTGCAAAGGCCCATTTGGAATCAAGCTGCCTCTAAGTGTCACTCTGACTTATCTGTTTAGATCTTGTAGCTCCTCAGGATGCCGGAATGAAGTTTCAGACCACCTCACTTCGTAGAATGACTACACAGGAACAATGTGGCTTCTGTAATTGATCAAGGATGATCAACTCGAGATCGGAAGATGTCGACTCTAATACCGTCTGCACACTCAGTTAGACCAATTCACCCCACGTCAATAGCTTCTTGGGTGGTGCTAGGTGGAAGCACTCAGTTAGACGGTGCCAGGTAGTAGCACTCGGTTAGATGGTGCCAGGTGGAAGCACTCGGTTAGATGGTGCCAGGTGGAAGCACTCGGTTAGATGGTGCCAGGTGGAAGCACTCGGTTAGACTACGGACGCTCGTTGGATCTTCAGAAACCTGAAAAACACAAAGCAACACCCATGAGCGAACCGTACCCAACGCACCTAGTCAATCAATGTCCTTACCATCTCCTCATGCTCAGATATACTTGAGGTTAGTCCCAACCATGAAGGTTGGTTACCTCTATCTTGGAATCCATATATTTTCCCAGAGTGAGCACTAGATCATTAACTCGAATAGTTCCTGTATTCAGTCCTGTAGCGAAAGCCAGACAGATCTCCATTATTTCCCCTCCCTTTTAAAATACATTTCCACTAATAAGGAAGATAAGGGATAGGAGATGAAGTCAAACTAAGAACGAATGAAATATGCTCCGAAAACAGTACGACAGTCTAAGCTTGTTGTGGTTACGAAGTTTCCTAGCAACAGCGGATATGACGTCATGCCTGACCCAAAGCTTCTTGTCATTCACAACGGTTCAGGACTCACCAAGTTCAGAGACCGAATAACAGCAAACAACTAATCATACAAAGTTAACAATACCATAAACCCACTCCAGATATGTGGATTGATTGATCCGAAGAGGTTTAGAAGGCCGGTTCGAAGAATTCTCCGAGAAATTTCAGCAGAAAGTGCATTCCAATCTGGAGCTCCATTCTCCGTCCTCCATTGCAAGGATCGTAGACAAACAGATTCGCATTATCAATCTGCTGATCTTACTTACCCACACCACAGACACTCTGAGCACAAATATTCAATTAAAAACCCTTATGAAAACTCACCCATGATAAATGAAAAGAGAATAAAGAATCTTGTCTTTTTAACGGTCAAGTGGCAACACAACAGGAAAGCGTCAGCCTCATAGACCGGACCATAGAGAAGTGACGCATACATATACGGTCCCCAACTACAGCAGTTGGCGTAAGAATCCCGCTCATGTATGCAGTGCAGTGGCCAGACAATTTATTTTAAATAGGCGTAGAAAACGTATCCTAACGTGTAAATCGACACTAAAAGCCTAAAAGAGTCAATATCATAGTGATTAAAAGGGATTTTTCTTATCTGGACCCCCCCCCCCCCCCCCCCCCTCCCCCACAACAAACGAACTAGATAACTACGGTTGGCCCATTGTATATCATAGTTACAATGACGATTCCGGGGGTGTTCAGACTGTGGACCTGCCCAAGGCGGTAGATGTGTGTTTACTGTCATGCGACAACTCCTGCAGCTCTTCTAAGGCATTTCTTCTCTGTTGTCACAATTTTACATTTATTAGAGGATGTACATGTCCAAGTTTGGCACTGATAGCATAGTATCAGCCATAGTTTTTTATTTTATTTAATACTACCAGTAATTTACATTTTGTTGAGCTGAGGTGAAATCTTTGCATTAAATAAAAGCAAATCCCTTATTTGTTACCTGATCCCCAATGTTTTGTTGCACATTCAAAGGTGCCTGACCTGGACTTCTTGATGGACAAGTCCAAGCTGCATCGTGTCAGAGTTCGACACCACAAGACTCAGCTGATGTATCGCTCTTCACTTGTCAACCAGGACAGAACCAGGATTCTCTTGTTCAACAACCCTCTACCATCTCTCAGTGATGATGAGGAGGGGGTTAGCAGGTTTCTTCCTCCATGTGACGATACAGATTCTGTAAGTTTTTTACATTTTTTTTTTCTTCTAAAACTATAAATTATGTAATATTGTTGAGTCACTCCTCTTCTTCACTAGACTATAGAGATGCCTGTCTTTTTTAGTTTGTTTTTTTCTTTACTTACCAAAGTGACATGATTGTGTTGTTCCTGTTTAATGCATATCTGCAGTATTTTTACCTTTGAGGTGACACATCTGACTTTATCAGTCATTTGTTCACTGGTTTAATCTTCCTGTTTGGTTTCATGGAACAAGACGTCGCCATATTTGTGTTGTGTCCTCTTTGTCCTTTATCTACAGGTGTTGCCACTGGAAAACCCATCCAGGGCAACTGTGTGTAGACTGGTCGGCCCTCAAAGGAAAGCAAAGGCAGATCGTGGGCATCCAAGGAGGCTTCCATAAATGCAAAACCGACACATGAAATTCTAGTCCTGGGCTCACCCACAGTCATCACTGCTTAACATCATTTCCATGTGTCGGGCTTCCCACTTATTATGGGCTACAGCCTCTTGAGATCAACAGGGAGCAGCCTGCAGATCAGGAACTTTATTGACCATACAGATGAGCAGAGTCTTCTAAAGCACATTGGGTACATTCAACGTTGTGGCATCCTGTTGCTTAGCACACCAGTGTAGGAAAATCATGCATTAGGCATGGCTGCCTCATTTGGTCTGTCAAACAGTAGGACATTTGACAGTCAGACTTTCAGTCCCAACACTCAGTTGAGTGGCCGTGGAAAGTTTGATTGACCATTTTGAGCTGGTCATATAGACACTTCTTAACATCATCCCCTCGACAGATTAGATGGATATAGACTTATTGTTTAGGGGCCAATGTTTATGAGGTAGTTGGTTTAAACCTCACAAGTCTCAGCATGTTTTAAATATCACCTGTCTCAACATGTTTTATACCTTACATGTCTCAACATGTTTTATACCTCACATGTCTCAACATGTTTTATACCTCACATGTCTCAATATTGCTTTATACTTCACAAGTCTCAGCATGTTCTGAACCTCACAGATCTCAGTATATATGAAACCTCACATGTTTCAACATGTTTTATACCTCACATGTCTCAACATGTTTTATACCTCACATGTCTCAACATGTTTTGAACCCTCACCTTCTCAAAATATGCCAGACCTCACAAGTGTCAACATGTTTTGTACCCCACAGGTCAGCACAGAAGCTTCTTACTTGAGGTGGCTTAAAGAGGATCATTGCCTTGAGAGGGGAGATAACCATGAGATAGCTCCCTACGTTGGGAGAATGACGCGGCCTTCCCTCTTGTCTGGTGGCTCTGCTGCCAGTAAGGATTTGCAGGACATCTGCAATTCTCTGGTAACAAGGCGGAAACCCAAGAAACAGCCCAGGTCCATATGAATCTAGATTTGTGTTTTCGTTTATTGTTCAATTTAACCCAACAAAATATTACTTTTCCCCTTTGGGTTTGCAGCCAGAAAGATTGATACTCAGTGAGGAGCACAATTCGAATAAAATCCAAAAAGAGCTAAGCCTAGAAACCCTGTTCAGTCATAAATCGTATATATAGTCCTATGAGATCCAGCTGTTTGGTTCCATACCATGTTGTTTGGTTCCAGTCCTGCTGTTTGTTTCTAGCTCTGCTGTTTGTTTCTAGCTCTGCTGTTTGTTTCTAGCTCTGCTGTTTGTTTCTAGCTCTGCTGTTTGTTTCTAGCTCTGCTGTTTGTTTCCAGTCCTGCTGTATGGTTCCAGTCCTGCTGTTTGTTTCTAGCTCTGCTGTTTGTTTCTAGCTCTGCTGTTTGTTTCTAGCTCTGCTGTTTGTTTCTAGCTCTGCTGTTTGTTTCTAGCTCTGCTGTTTGTTTCCAGTCCTGCTGTTTGTTTCCAGTCCTGCTGTTTGTTTCTAGCTCTGCTGTTTGTTTCTATCTCTGCTGTTTGTTTCTAGCTCTGCTGTTTGTTTCTAGCTCTGCTGTTTGTTTCCAGTCCTGCTGTTTGTTTCTATCTCTGCTGTTTGTTTCTAGCTCTGCTGTTTGTTTCTAGCTCTGCTGTTTGTTTCTAGCTCTGCTGTTTGTTTCCAGTCCTGCTGTTTGTTTTTAGCTCTGCTGTTTGTTTCTAGCTCTGCTGTTTGTTTCTAGCTCTGCTGTTTGTTTCTAGCTCTGCTGTTTGTTTCTAGCTCTGCTGTTTGTTTCTAGCTCTGCTGTTTGTTTCTAGCTCTGCTGTTTGTTTCCAGTCCTGCTGTTTGTTTCCAGTCCTGCTGTTTGTTTCTAGCTCTGCTGTTTGTTTCTAGCTCTGCTGTTTGTTTCTAGCTCTGCTGTTTGTTTCTAGCTCTGCTGTTTGTTTCCAGCCCTGCTGTTTGTTTCTAGCTCTGCTGTTTGTTTCTAGCTCTGCTGTTTGTTTCTAGCTCTGCTGTTTGTTTTCAGTCCTGCTGTTTGTTTTTAGCTCTGCTGTTTGTTTCTAGCTCTGCTGTTTGTTTCTAGCTCTGCTGTTTGTTTCTAGCTCTGCTGTTTGTTTCTAGCTCTGCTGTTTGTTTCTAGCTCTGCTGTTTGTTTCTAGCTCTGCTGTTTGTTTCCAGTCCTGCTGTTTGTTTCCAGTCCTGCTGTTTGTTTCTAGCTCTGCTGTTTGTTTCTAGCTCTGCTGTTTGTTTCTAGCTCTGCTGTTTGTTTCTAGCTCTGCTGTTTGTTTCCAGCCCTGCTGTTTGTTTCTAGCTCTGCTGTTTGTTTCTAGCTCTGCTGTTTGTTTCTAGCTCTGCTGTTTGTTTCTAGCTCTGCTGTTTGTTTCTAGCTCTGCTGTTTGTTTCCAGTCCTGCTGTTTGTTTCTAGCTCTGCTGTTTGTTTCTAGCTCTGCTGTTTGTTTCTAGCTCTGCTGTTTGGTTCCAGTCCTGCTGTTTGTTTCTAGCTCTGCTGTTTGTTTCTAGCTCTGCTGTTTGTTTCTAGCTCTGCTGTTTGTTTCTAGCTCTGCTGTTTGTTTCCAGTCCTGCTGTTTGTTTCTAGCTCTGCTGTTTGTTTCTAGCTCTGCTGTTTGTTTCTAGCTCTGCTGTTTGTTTCTAGCTCTGCTGTTTGTTTCCAGTCCGGCTGTTTGTTTCCAGTCCTGCTGTTTGTTTCTAGCTCTGCTGTTTGTTTCTAGCTCTGCTGTTTGTTTCTAGCTCTGCTGTTTGTTTCTAGCTCTGCTGTTTGTTTCCAGTCCTGCTGTTTGTTTCTAGCTCTGCTGTTTGTTTCCAATCCTGCTGTTTGTTTCCAGTCCTGCTGTTTGTTTCTAGCTCTGCTGTTTGTTTCTAGCTCTGCTGTTTGTTTCTAGCTCTGCTGTTTGTTTCCAATCCTGCTGTTTGTTTCCAGTCCTGCTGTTTGTTTCTAGCTCTGCTGTTTGGTTCCAGCTGCTGTTTGTTTCTAGCTCTGCTGTTTGTTTCTAGCTCTGCTGTTTGTTTCTAGCTCTGCTGTTTGGTTCCAGCTGCTGTTTGTTTCTAGCTCTGCTGTTTGGTTCCAGTCCTGCTGTTTGTTTCTAGCTCTGCTGTTTGTTTCTAGCTCTGCTGTTTGTTTCTAGTCCTGCTGTTTGTTTTTAGCTTTGCTGTTTGTTTCTAGCTCTGCTGTTTGGTTCTAGTCCTGCTGTTTGTTTCTAGTCCTGCTGTTTGTTTCTAGCTCTGCTGTTTGGTTCCAGTCCTGCTGTTTGTTTCTAGCTCTGCTGTTTGGTTCTAGTCATGCTTTGGGGACAGATCCAGCTGTTAATGTATGAAATAATAGTCATTCTTGATTTGACCAAAAAGCATTGAGGATCTTGTGTTTGTGGAGGATATTCTGGCCATTGATGGAATCAGCTTTTTGCTGGAGTAAAGAGGTGAATATTAGCACCATTCTGACTTGCCAGATAGGAATGATGTATTGTGCTATGATGAAGCATAGGAACTATAGCCCATGGGGATGGTCAGTGTGACTAGCAAAACCTGCTTGTGTTTAGGAACGTCTTCCACAAAAAAGGCATGGAGTTTCAGGACCATTGTTGCCATCTCATGTATTTAACTTGCTGCTTCTTGTCAACTCAGCACTTTACCTATAATGTATCCCTTTTGCCTTCCTGATTGTTCCCATATATGGCATCCTGTTCCCACAAATCCACCTCAGTACCTGTGTCATTCATGTCCAGAGAGAAAAGCACACAGAATTAAGGTAATTCGGTACACATCAAAGATCGACTGCACAAACACAAAGCCTAAGTGTGGCATAAAAACATAAATGTTCACAGTCTTATGACAGTCATTCTTCAGTGTCAAGATGACACTGAATGATGATGGTGATGAAAATAATAGTGAGTGTAGCTTGTTGTATGCCTTGTCCTCAGATATCATTTCCTGACAGAAGAGGAAGCTTGGACACCAGGTGCTTTCCTGGCTCGACTCCACTTGGGAAAAGGTTCTGGATATCCTGAGCTTGTATCTCCTCCAAGTAATAATCTGAGTTTGTTGTTTAGAGATTGTGTCTGTTGTGGTATTTAGCCAGTTAAATAGGTCAGCAGTGGTGTGTGTGTGTGCGTGCGTGCATTAATAGTACTTTTTGAATGCATAAGCTGCTGTGTTTAAACATTAGCTATGTGTTTATGTCAGAAACTTTGTAGATACGTAAAAGCTCTAGTGTGTTGCATGAAAGAGCTAGAAATCCTCAACAGTTTGTATTCATTCTCAGTGTATGTTTGAAAACTATGTTATGTTTAATTAGCATTCAGGAATGTTGATGTTATCAGCATCTATGTCTTAGAGGTTTCGAATGTGATTTGTAATTCAGAAGTAAACTGGGTTCAGTTCATTAGCAAGTGATTTGGCAGCAGACTGGGTTGTTGTTGATTTTGATAATATTTGAAGGGCTGACTATTCAGACAGCAATGGCAAACTACTGAATATAACATTGCCTAATTAACCTTGTTGACCCTAGAAGACTAAATCTTGTCACTTCTAGTTATTTCACAGTCCTGTAAGTGCCTCTTTACAGTGGCCTGCTGTCAAACTGCATAGTTAAATTCCATTAGTCCTGTGTGTGCTTGTATGATGTTTAACAGACCGCTGTAAAGTCAAAATCCCTTTTCACACCTTTTAGGCGCAAGGGGCATATGGGAAGAGAACCCATATTTTCACAGACCGATCACACTAGGTGGGTAATGTGGTCAGCATTACGCCAGCCGTCTTTACTTCCCAAGGACATACATCCTGGTACCCATTTTAGGCTGGGTCGACCTGTGATAAAATCCACCCTGCCAGCAGTGGTTTCGATTGCAGTACATTGGGATTACGAGTCAAACTTGCAACACCTAAGCCATGGATGCTGCAACAGACCAATGTATGCATGTAGTAACTAAACATAGCATTTGTGGGGGTTTTCTTATGACCCCAGTGTCTTTGTTTCAATGCCAGGTTGATGTTAAATTTCCTGTAATCTTTAGTAATAGAGGTTATAAGGTCACAGCCTGACTCACTCAATACTTACTGTTTTTTAGACCCCAGAGAATGTATCCAATTTAATACTTCACTTTGTTCATGTTTATTGATTACCCTTTAATATATTTGTTTCAGATTTTGTTTGTTTTTTATGCATTAGTGGCCTCTGTAAAAAAAAAAATTTCAAAGATTTTTTTCCAAGAATTCCCACAGAGTCATGACCCATTTGTTTTATCATTTGCGGGGCCTAAGGGTTAAACCGCCAATAGTCTGGGGTTGGTTTGCAACATCCTGTCAAGCAGAACTTTTCAACTGGTGGCCTGAGGGCTAGATCTGGCCCACAGAGGCTTAGCAAGTGGCCTGCTGATCACTGCCAGTTGTATTATGTTAAGGATTTTTCTAAGTTGGGGCTCGGACCTCTTACCCATGACGATCCTCATTTTCAAAATGTTGTCCCTGAGTAAACTTAGTCGAATAGCTCTGCTGTAAAGGTTGGGCAACTTTATTTTGTGAAATGTTAATATTCAGACATACAGATCAGCTGAGATTAGACCTGATCTGGTGGCTAAGGTTTGAGGTCTTGCATTGTTAACAGACCCCAGCTGAGTGTCTTGGAGCAACATGTGGGAGTAAAGTCTCCTTCAAGTGGATCACACTCACTGTTTGGTGTGATATATCACTGGCTCACAGAGGATCCTTACAGTTTTTCCCCAATCCTTTTCCAGTCACTGTGCAGCATCTGATTACATGCAGATTGCTTAAGGTGATCTCAGATGTGGCAAATTCTTGTTGTGAAGAGCAATTTCTTTATCTCTGGCAGTTTGTGTGTGTACTTGAATTCTTATATGGATAAGATAATTTTTTCTGATAAGAAGAACCATTTCTTGGGTCCTTCGTGAGTTCTGCTTATCAGATCCGCACTGTTTTTGGCTCACAGAAGATCCTTCTTCCAAATCACTGTGTAGTGTCTGATATATAACTGGCTTAGAGAAGACCCCTGCAGCATCCGCCCAATCCTTTCCCAGTCAACACTTTGGTGAGGTAACTGGAGACAAAAAAGACAAAGTAATTGGCTTGAATTTCTTTTTCATGCCAGGAGTTTCAAAACTAGTTTTATCTCTTTGCAGATGTTTCACACATTAGAAGAGAGCCTGCCCAATGTCTGTCGCCTGGTGAAAGGTCACAGTTTAAGTCCAGCTGGGAACCCTTAAGCCTGCATGCTTTGAAAGAGTACAAACAGCAGCTGTCAGCCGAAGGACATGGTGAGTTCCATCAAGGTCGGCCAACCATGTGGAGAAAGCTGCCCGCCTGACCACAGACTTAGGGGCCTCAAGCATTACAAGATGTTGGACAATTTGGCATCTTGGCAAGGAACATGTATCAGAAATGATTGACACTACTTGAGACAGGAAGCTGTAGATAGACATGATTACAAACACCACACAGTATCGAAATAAATGAAGAAATTGAATTTTAGGTCTATTTTGTTCATAGTATTAATCAGAGAATACTTGAAACCAAGTGCCAGATGTTGCATATCTCTAGTTCATTAACTTAAATCTTGGTATTGAGTTTCCTGAGTATGCCACACCTATGGTGCCTGTCTGTTTCTCTCGCTCTCTCTCTCTCTCTCTCTCTCTCTCTCTCTCTCTCTCTCTCTAGTGCCACATAATTCTGTACTGACAGATCTCTACTTGCCAGAGTTTTAAATCTATGCCTTTATTCCCCATGTGTGACTCTTTCTATTTGGCTGATGATTTTTCATACATATTTTGGTGGGTATAAACAAGAGAACAATCCAACATACACATACTACAAGAGAATCATCTGACAATACTACAAGAGAATCATCTGACAGTACTACAAGAGAATCATCTGACAGTACTACAAAGAGAATCATCTGACAATACTACAAGAGAATCATTTGACAATACTACAAGAGAATCATCTGACAGTACTACAAAGAGAATCATCTGACAATACTACAAAAGAATCATCTGACAGTACTACAAAGAGAATCATCTGACAATACTACAAGAGAATCATCTGACAGTACTACAAGAGAATCATCTGACAGTACTATAAGACAATCATCTGACAGTACTACAAGAGAATCATCTGGCAGTACTACAAGAGAATCATCTGGCAGTACTACAAGAGAATCATCTGACAATACTACAAGATAATCATCTGACAATACTATAAGAGAATCATTTGACAGTACTACAAGAGAATCATCTGACAATACTACAAGAGAATCATCTGACAGTACTAGAAGGGAATCATCTGACAATACTACAAGAGAATCATCTGACAATACTACAAGAGAATCATCTGACAATACTACAAGAGAATCATCTGACAGTACTAGAAGGGAATCATCTGACAATACTACAAGAGAATCATCTGACAATACTACAAGAGAATCATCTGACAATACTACAAAGAGAATCATCTGACAGTATTACAAGAGAATCATCTGACAGTACTACAAAGAGAATCATCTGACAATACTACAAGAGAATCATCTGACAAAACTACAAGAGAATCATCTGACAATACTACAAGAGAATCATCTGACATTACTACAAAGAGAATCATCTGACAATACTACAAGAGAATCATCTGACAATACTACAAGAGAATCATCTGACAATACTACAAAGAGAATCATCTGACAGTATTACAAGAGAATCATCTGACAGTACTACAAAGAGAATCATCTGACAATACTACAAGAGAATCATCTGACAAAACTACAAGAGAATCATCTGACAATACTACAAGAGAATCATCTGACAATACTACAAGAGAATCATCTGACAATACTACAAAAGAATCATCTGACAATACTACAAGAGAATCATCTGACAATACTACAAGAGAATCATCTGACAATACTACAAGAGAATCATCTGACAGTACTACAAGAGAATCATCTGACAGTACTACAAGAGAATCATCTGTCAATACTACAAGAGAATCATCTGACATTACTACAAAGAGAATCATCTGACATTACTACAAAGAGAATCATCTGACAATACTACAAGAGAATCATCTGACAATACTACAAAGAGAATCATCTGACAATACTACAAGAGAATCATCTGACAATACTACAAGAGAATCATCTGACAGTATTACAAGAGAATCATCTGACAGTACTACAAAGAGAATCATCTGACAATACTACAAGAGAATCATCTGACAAAACTACAAGAGAATCATCTGACAATACTACAAGAGAATCATCTGACAATACTACAAGAGAATCATCTGAAAATACTACAAGAGAATCATCTGACAATACTACAAGAGAATCATCTGACAATACTACAAGAGAATCATCTGACAGTACTACAAGAGAATCATCTGACAGTACTACAAGAGAATCATCTGACAATACTACAAGAGAATCATCTGACAGTACTAGAAGAGAATCATCTGTCAATACTACAAGAGAATCATCTGACAAAACTACAAGAGAATCATCTGACAATACTACAAGAGAATCATCTGACAATACTACAAGAGAATCATCTGAAAATACTACAAGAGAATCATCTGACAATACTACAAGAGAATCATCTGACAATACTACAAGAGAATCATCTGACAGTACTACAAGAGAATCATCTGACAGTACTACAAGAGAATCATCTGACAATACTACAAGAGAATCATCTGACAGTACTAGAAGAGAATCATCTGTCAATACTACAAGAGAATCATCTGACATTACTACAAAGAGAATCATCTGACAATACTACAAGAGAATCATCTGACAATACTACAAGAGAATCATCTGACAATACTACAAAGAGAATCATCTGACAGTACTAAAAGAGAATCATCTAACAGTACTACAAGAGAATCATCTAACAGTACTACAAGAGAATCATCTGACAGTACTACAAGAGAATCTTCTGACAGTACTACAAGAGAATCTTCTGACAGTACTACAAAGAGAATCAATTGACAATACTACAAGAGAATCATCTGACAATACTACAAGAGAATCATCTGACAGTACTACAAACAGAATCCTCTGAGAGTACTACAAAGAGAATCATCTGACAATACTACAAGAGAATCATTTGACAATACTACAAGAGAATCATCTGACAATACTACAAGAGAATCATTTGACAATACTACAAGAGAATCATCTGACAGTACTACAAGAGAATCATCTGACAGTACTACAAGAAAATCATCTGACAATACTACAAGAGAATCATCTGACAGTACTACAAGAGAATCATCTGACAATACTACAAGAGAATCATCTGACAATATTACTAAATGAGAATAATGTAATGTTACAAGACAAAAGTCTATCTGTGATATATATGTACATAACCACATACAGGCTATTCAGTGCTGAGTCACTTGTGCTTCCTTTGCTGTGACACCTAGTGTAAAGTCTTACCATTCATCATGAAGTGTCAGATTTTTCTTGTATAACTTTAATTTCTTTGCATGTTTATTGTGTTGTATGGATTTAGGATATGGTATAGTTATTTGATTTATATAACTTGTATATGTATACTATATAATAGTGGAGAGTAGACTAGTTTTCCAGTTTGTATATCTAGGATCGGTCTCTGCTGATAGTCTCATGCTGTTTGCATTGTTTGCTTCTAGAACAGCTCAGAATTTTTACATGAAAGCTAAATTATTTCTGTAAAGGAAATATCTTGGAGAAGGGAACTGAGTATATCATGCTATAATGTGTGATCTAGTCAATGCTCTGTGACGGGATTTTTCATGGGAGTATGTGTGCGCTTAGATTGTATAAATATATGGGGAATCCAATAGGATCATTTCAGGACATAGAGTCACCTCTGTCTGCCTGCTTATCTAGCTGCCTGCATGTCTGCTCTCCACTGGGTCTGTGAGTGACCAAATGATTTAGATAGAATGGAGGACATAGCCTTAGTTAGTTAGTTAGTTAGTCTTTCCTCTTGAGCCTAGTGCAACACATAGGGCAGAGGCATAGCTCTCTGTCTGGTGGTTTATTGCCACCTATTTTAGGTTGCCAATGTTTATTAGGCTCAAGGTTGAGCCTTCCATGATGATGGTTCTTCACAGGATCTCTCTTGGGCTTTCCCGTTTTCTTTTCCCTTCTGGTTTCCATATGAGGACTTGATAGGGGAGTCAGGTCTTATCCATTCTGAGCGCCTGTCTGATGTAGTTCCAGTTTCTTATAAAATTGGATGCATTATCTTGCTCGGTCTCTCTCTTGTCTTATTTTCTTGAATCTGTCCAGTGGAGATTAATTATTTTTCTAAGACATCTGTTCTCAAAACTGACTAATTTTTTATCTAGAGCTACTTTCCATCTCTTGCATCCATAAATTAGCACTGTACTCACACATGAGTTTAAGATCTTAAGTTTTGTGTGTTTGCTAAATGACTTCCAGATGTTTGATAGTTTGTTGAAGGCACTAGATGCCAGTGCGATTCTAGATGATATTTCTGATGTTTTGAATCCCCTGCAGATGTCATCACTCCCTAGGTATGTAAAGCTGTTGACTTTTTCAAGAATTTGACTGTTAAGCTTGATGTCGTCTGAATTACTGGTAAGATTAATATTTTTTGCTTTTGCTGTGTTGCACATGACCCAATCGATTGCTATTCCAAAGAGCATTGGTTGGTGATAGGACATAGCCTTGTTTCACTCCTGTTTTCCATTCAGAGTTGCCGGATTCTGTTCTTACAATGCAACATGTCTCCTATAGAAGGATTTTTTTACACTGATGAATTTGGTAGGAAAACCAAAGATTTCAAGTAGTTTCCAAAGTGTAGTACGATGGATACTGTCAAAAGCTGTTTGAAAGTTGACAAGGTTGATGACTGAAATTCTACAGATTCTTCAATGATTACTCTGAGGATGAAGATGTAGTCTATGCATGACTGTTTTGGTCTGAAGCCTGCTTGTTCGTCTCATAGTCTTTCATTTATAGACTTTTTCAGTCTCTCAAGGAACAAGCTAAAAAAAAAAAACGTTTTCCTGGCACTGAAAGGAAGGTGTGCAGTCTGCTCAGTGAAAAATCATTTCCCACTTCACTGAAAGCCTATGTCTCCACTGGAAATATCCTTAAGTGGCCCTTATCTCACAGTTGTCTCTGTCTGTAGCTATATATCTAGATATCTATCGGTGTATCTATCTAGATATCTATCTATCTGCCTGTCTGTGTGCTGTCCACGGGGTATGTGAATGACCAAATGATTAAGACAGAGTGGATGACATGGCCTTCAGTAGTCTTTGTCTCATAGTTCACTGAATTGTGAAGTGCTTCCCAAAAATATTGGTTTTTAATATGTGTCTCCTGGTCTCTCCAAAGATGATTTCCCATACCTGTTATGTTATCACAATCGAAGACACTTCACGTACCTAGTCTTCTCAGATAAGAGCCACAGAGCAGGAGTTCCCTGTTCAAGTTAGCATAGTACAAATCCCATAGACAGCAGCTTATGCTGATGCTGCCCAAGGCAGATCAAGTATTGTATAGAAGGAAGGAGACTGGAGTACTTTATGTACAGCAAAAAGGGATCATTTAAAAACAACACGTCAAAGAAAATGTGGCAAGTGTAGAGTGCTTACTAGCTGTCATTTTACTAACAGATTGTATGACTAACAGACTTGTTTGAACCTCGGTTGTGTGAAACCCTGTGTTTATAGTATAGCCTGCTTGTATGAATGGTTTTAGGAAATCCTTATTTTGTAGTATCACATTCGGGGATGCAATTACAAGAAGAAAATCCTTGGTTGTGTGAAATCTTGTTTTGTAGTATTATATACCTGTGTGAACCTTGATTGTGTGAAATCCTGTTGTGCAGTTTTGGATACCTGTGCAAGCCTTGGTTGTGTCAAAACCTGTGTTTTAGTATTATGTACATATATGAACATTGGTTGTTTCAAACCCTATGTTGTAGTATTATGTACCTGTATAAACCTTGGTTATTTCAAACCCTGTATTGTAATATTATTTACCTGTATGAACCTTGGTTGTGTCACACCCTGTGTTGTACTATTGTTACCTGCATGAACTTGGTTGTGTCAAACCATGTGCTGTAGTATTATGTACCTGAGCGAACCTTGGTTGTGTCAAACCTTGTTTTGAGTCACCATGATTCAGATTCCGTCCAGCTGGCAGACTTGGAAAGTTTGCCAGGATTAATCACTGATTCTTGGTGCTAGTGAAATTTGTTTTCTTTGTTGTCTTCTCTTTTATAGTCATCAACATTTATGAGACCATTTTGAAATCTGTTGTTACATGTACTGCTGCCATCTTTGTATTTGTTGTCTATACACAATTTATTATACATAAAAAAGCCAAAAAAAAACTCATGTTCGATTACAATGTTGGCGTTGTGTATTTCTTTGCTTTATCTATGACAGTGGTAGTCAGCTAAATTTACTCAGGGGGCCAACATTTTGAAAATGGTGATCGTCACCAGAGGCCCTAGCCCCAGCAGTAGAAAGATAATTAGTACAGTACAACTGGCAGTGATGTGTGAGCCATTTTTTCTGCCTCCACAAGCCAGATTTGACCCACAGGCTGCCAGTTGAAAAGCCTTGATCTTTGGGTTTGCTTGTGACCAGTTTCTGCTCTTTATGATCATGTTCTAGAACAATCTTTGGCAGGGCTATTCAACTAAGTTTACCCAGGGACCAACATTTACAAAATGGGGATGGTCACAGGCCTGAGTACCAGCATTAAGGAATCTTTAATACAATACAAACAGTAGTGATCCGTGGGTCACTTGACTGACTGACTGACTTTCTACCCCACTAGGACATCACACAAGCAATAAACACCCGATGACACAAAGTGCCACTATGTGGATGAGGATCGCCGTGGAGAGGTCCCAGAAACAGAGTTCAGACAATTGGCCATATTTATTGCCTGCCTATATTGCAGCCCCTGGCAAAAGCTAGGGTGGGGCTTCAAATAACAAAAAATGTCATCCTAAAAAGGAGGAAATTGGATTTACGTTAGCGGTTTGAAACGTGGGTCACTTGATAGACTTCCAGTTAAACAGCCCTGGTCTGTGTGTTATGTCAATGTGCCAGCCACTGCGACAGGGTTGCCAGATAAACGTCATTTTATGCCAAACCATCACCCAAAATATGCCAGAAAATTGCCAAATAAAGTGTAACATTGTACTCACTTCACATCAAAAGCTCTAGATTGAATTCTTCACTGTCATCCTCACTGGAACCAGTGGAAGATGCAGCATAAACCTTTTCGGATGTAAAATCTTCAAGCATTTTCTCAGATGGAATGAAGTCTTTGCAACATTTCTTTGATATCAAAAGTTCTGCTCTAATTCTGACAACTGCATTAAAAAATCCAGCAGTATTTTGTTTCTTGCTTTTGATTTAGTTAAAGTAACAAGAGAGAATATTCTCTCAACTACAGTGTTGCTAACGGGCATTATTAGGCAAGTAAGGGCGAAAGTGGCCAACTCTTTAAATGCTGGTGTTAAAGTACGCCTATCCAAAAATCTTCCCTGTTTGTAGGTAGTCCATCCTTCTTAAATGTAGCTTCTTCTTTCCAGTTGACAACAATCAGTTTTCTGTACTGCTCTTCTATAATACTGATGTAGTTTTCTGCCAGGTATAAAAATGGTAGCTCTGAAAACTGTGTCCTTGATATTTAATTTAAAACTGCCAAAGGGCTCAAATTTGACAGATTTTTAAAAATATTCTCGGTGGGAAGTCTACACGTAATTTGATTGAGAGCTTCCTCTAGCACAGACATGCATCTTTCATTAACATTGTTTATTTCTATCTGAACTTCAGTCCTGTTATTCTTCTGTAGGAACGCATTACATTCCGTTAGGAGTTTAATACCAAAGTCAGTGTGATGAATATTTTTTTTCTGTTCATTGACGTCATAGAGTCTGTTCTTAAGATTTTTCTGGTGCATGGACAATTCTTGGGGTAGTTCATGAGAATCAGCTTTTGTTTGTTGAAAAAGACTGTTCAGTCTTTCAAATTCGTGTACAATTGGTGTCGCAAACACAAAGTACAAATAATTATTGTGGTCTAACAGCATTTCCTTTAACAATCTCACTTTATATTTGTCTGTGCTAATTCAGCACATGTAAAATAAGCTTTCAATTCTTTCCAGTTCACCAGCATATTGAACATAATCTTTCCACGCACAAGCCACCTAGTAGATGACAGTTTCTCAAATGGAAGAGGAGCAGTTCGTTCTGATTCAAACTCTGTAGATGTGTTCATCACTCTAAACAGTTCTTTATAGGCTTCTCATCTTAAATCACTATGACAAAACCACTGAGGTATTTCTGTCAGTAAGAAACCAATATTTGATGGCAGCTTGGCAATTCCAC